AAATATATCAAGTTTCCTTACCGAAATTCGAAAATATGGTCTTGCTGCAAAACTGGGACCCTACAGCGAAAATTCACTAAAAACGGTCGATCTCCTCAGAGACAAGCCATAAGCACGAACTTATTCTATCATAGACACAGCTCACTAAGGTCTACAAAATGCGCTAAGTCCCGACTTGAAAGCGCTCGGGCACCTGGGAATGTTCCCTCGTAAGCCACTCATCATGCCACAAGGTAGATGAAAAGTAAAGATATTCTACCTTCTTTCCAAATGGAACAATATGCATACATATTTGTACAATTTTCATGAGACATGGAAACATAATAAAGAATGCCAGCACAAGAACTAGTGTATGTCGAAACAGAAACATAACAGAAAATTCCAATAGAAGAAAAAACAATATTAACCAGAAAAAATGATCAGAATAAATTGTCGTTAAATAATGCAATCGAGTCCTTCAATAATTATAATTATCACGAGTTAGTCTGAAGCTTTTGCGTTCAGTGAACAATTTGGCTGTACATTAATATTGTTTCCTAACCATATAGACAGAAAACAATTATCTAGTAAATATGTGAAATCTATTCTTTGCGAGAGCCATCCGATGATTTCATTAGGACTAAAGGGCATATCAAATAAGAATACGAATGTAACACTTGATAAGTGTTTCACTTGTTGTAAAAGTATTTTTATATCATCCAAATCCATGTCATATATTTCAAGATATTTCACATGATGAGGTATAATAGAACAGAAACTTTCAACAGTTCCATTTAAATTACTACGATAAACTGAATTAGATAATGTAAGTGAACGCACATTGTATGTTTGTTTAAGTAAGCAGCCTATGTTATTTATTGTATTTGATACTGAATAATGACCAAAATTGACGTATAATCCCAACGTAGTCAGATTTGTTAAGTCAATAAGAGTCGAAAGATATTCAATTGAACCAACAGGCCATTCTCCATTGACGGTAAGGGTTAAATCGGTCAGTTTGAGAAATAAATGATGATTTCGTAGTGTAATCTATGTACACGAAAAATACAATGATTTAGAAATATCAATTGTCCGAATAATTCATAATGAAAAATTCAGAAAAAAATCTAACCAAAGAAATTTGTCTTTTTTTTTTTGCATAACATACCTTTTGTGTTGTCATACTTGCCATCATTACTGTTAAATCTAAATCAAGTTCACGTACATTATTCATTATTAATGCATCATTGCCGTTAGTCATGCAAGTGGTGCATTCAATTTTGTCAAAGTCCGATTCATATATAATACAAGGATCACATATTGGTACTGAATAGAGTCTAATCGTTCCCGTTTTAATGATAAAATTACAAGTTACAAACCAAGATTTATGTTTGAGCCAAAACGTTGTTCGAAATGGACTAACCCATGATTCAATATCAATAGAATTATGGTTAATATCAGTCTTAGCACGAAAGAAAAATTCGAATTTTTTCAATGAAGGTAGTTTTCTTTGAATAAACTCTTCCCATCGCGAACCATCAAGTATACTATCAGATAAAGTAACAGTACCTGTCAGCTGAAGATGAACAAGAGTAGGTGTTAGCAAAAGTAACAGTTCCAATTCATTCATTTGTAAACGACTATTCTTGAATGTCAGAGAAGTTAAATGTGTACTTGTTTGAATATGAGAAAACGACATTACACTTGCATCAGTATCATTCACAATACAATTTCTCAATACTAATGTTCGTAAATGCGATAAGTGATGAAGAATTTCACAAACTTGTTTGAGTGTTACGTAATGACCAAGAGTGAGATATTGTAAAGTGCATTGTTTAGGCCATACTATACAATTTATTTCTTTACTCCACATACTTAAATCAAGTTTACGAAGATTAGCCATGACAATATTAGATAAGACGGGAATCATTGATTTACCTTTAGAGTTAAAATTATGTTTTCGTATATTGATCGATAACTCACTTAAAGAATTTATGTTAATATGTTCCATGAGTAGATTTAATTCAAACTTTTTGATTTCAATTAAAGTTAATGCACGAAGATGAACGAATTGATTAATATTCAAAAGAGATATAAATAAACAAATCTGTCCTGGCGTCATATCATTATTGGAAAGAATAAGTGAAATTACATTTTCTGGATGAATAATACAACAAATACGATGAAATTCAATCTTCGAAACTAAACTTAAGTCAAGTTCATACCGATTGTAAGTATCCACAATTGTATAAAATCGTTTACACACATTGCGAAATGAAAAAAGAATGGTTTGTATATCGAGGTTGCCAAATATATGGCAAACAAGTTCGATGGGCAAAGTATAAAGTGATGCAGACGACATTACTATGTGTTTTGTGTAAATGTAGTCTATCTATTACATCGAGTCGTAATGTTATGGTGCAATATTACGACATTAGAGAAAAACATGATTTTTGTTTTGCGTATGAGAAAAGATGATGAAATATCAGAAACGAAAAAAAAACAGTCATGGCCTGCAGTAGGCTCGTTTTATTAAACTTTACCGATGCATCTATCGAAATTAACCATATGAATACATTAAGGACTTGATAGCCTGTAATGCTATTGCATAAAATCAAACAAATATGTCATAATAAATGGGTTTTTTTTTGTGCACTTATTTGGACATTTAGTTTTATTCTTAAATATTCAAAATAAGGTCTCATTTTTAAGAATAAATTCAAATAGTAACATAGTGATTTTATCATTGATCAAAAGCATAAATTTACTATAGAATCCAGATGATAAGAAACATTTTTTATATTCATAAACTTATTGAAGTTATTAAAAGTATCCTGAAGTCACCAAGATCAAAGACAAGGGTAATGACTCAGAAAGTCGAATTTGAAAATTTTTTGCTAACGTTGAACATATTTCAAGGGTTGAAAGTTTTTTGGGTATTATTGAGGAAAAGAAAATCAGTAAAAACACAACGAAAATTTTTCAAGACTAAATAGTTATTCCTGGATCACTTCCAGCATGAAACATTCATGAAGAGGATTTTGTTTTTCTTCAATAATATTCAAGAAACTTTATAGAACGAAGAATAAAAACAAGAAAAGAATATTCTTTTATGTCTCGAAGAACTGAAATCTTTCATCGCGATATTCTATACGTGGATTGTATCGACCAATCATTTATTGTTCCGCGAAAATGGGAGAAAAGTTCTATTGGCCTCCACACTGATATATCATTACAATCTTTTTGCTTCAAAAAAACGAAAGTAAAACACGAATATTCATAATATCAAATAAAATAAAAAATGGCAAATGCTCGACATCACTCTAAAATAAATGATATTGATTTACAAGAACATGTCAATAATTCTCTTCCGATTCCACTTATGTCAATTATTATTGCGCCAACTGAATATTCTCATACACAATCTGAATCAAATGCAACATCAATTGATAAACCAATATATTCATCTTCAACAGCGTCTATTTCATTATCCGATGATAATATTTTATCAACATCAACATTATCTAATCGATTTGATATTTCAAAACTTCATTTTGCTCATGTAATTAAAGTTCCACATGGTACAAATCTTATTGCATCTGATAATCAATTAACAACAGTATGTATTAATTCAATTGGAAATATAATTCATCTTATTACACCTACGGGTTATTATATTCGATCATCAAGATGGCCTGAAACAGAAAACAAGATTTTGAATTTACTTTGGTAATGAATAAATACTAAAGAATTGTTTTTTTTTTTTTCTTTTAAATTTTTATCAATTATTTAATTAGGTGTGAAATATTACAAGTTTATCTTGTTTCAACATCGAAAAGTCTTTATACACTTAAATATGATTCAAATCAAATGCTTCTAGTTAAAAAATCACTTGATTTTCCTGATTATTATTTATCTAATAAGGTATTCATTGCTTGTAATTCATATCGTCTTTATATTCATGATCAATCATCAAAATTAATTGATGTTTATACTCTTCAATTTATTCATTTACATACAAAACAATTACCCGATTGTCTTATTAATAATCAAATCAAATCATTTTCTTGTTCTGATTCATTTCTTATTTTACATTACGAACAAATTCCTAATAAACTTATTATATTAGATCCAATAATAATGACAATTAAATATGAATTTGATTTATCATATAAGACAATTTCATCTATACGATGTTTTGATAATGAATATACATTAGTATTTATTGGTATTAGACAAGATGGAGAAAATCGTTTAGTTTTTTTAAATTTTGAATATATAAATAAAGAAAATAAAATACAAGAAATAATCGTTGAAAAAGCTATTGAACATAATGAAGAATTTGTTTGTCTTTTACCGAATTGTCAAGATCTAATGATACTCAATCTAATTGCTGCTCGTGTACAATATTTGAAATATTGTTCTTAATTATATATTATTGTTTTGTTTTTTTTCTTTCGTTCTAACTTGGATTGAATGTTATGATTATTGAAAGATATTGTTTGTTTATGTTTTTTTGAAAGAAACTTTATTTTAATCAAGAGTATGAAGAGTCTGTTGAATGTTTGTAAAAAAAAAAAAAAGAAGCGATTTTGAAAATGTTTATCTTATTTTAGATATCTATTAATTAATCTTTGTAAATTAATGATGGATAATCAGTGAGTATTTCTCTTTATAATTTTGATAGGTTTTTGTTTTGTTTATTTGAATTTAATAGACTATCTGGTATAATTCAATCGTTATCATTTTCATCGAATGATTGTCGAATACATGCTCGAAAACAACTTGATTCATGGTTAGATTCATCATTAACTTTACTTCGAAATGCTTATAATGAAAAATTAAATGAAATTGATCAATTATATGATACACTTAATGAAGATTTAGAACTTTACAAACAACGACAATTAATGGCAATAACAAGACAAAAAAATGATTTATTAAATCAAGAAATTGAACAATTACAAAGACAATTACCAACATTTATTCAAGTTTTTATTTGATTATTTTTAATTAAAAATTTATTATTAATTGTTTGATTTAGGTTAAAAATATTCCAGGTTCAATTTATAATCTTGAAGTATGTCGTTCAACTACTATAATTGATAGACCTACTGTTTGTTCAATACTTCGTCATTCATTATTACGAAAAGAGCCTGTACAATCATATCGTTTTTCATCAACTTGTCGTGCTATGGCATGCAATTCAAAACGAGATGAAATTCTTTTATATGACAAAGATGAACTTATTTTATATAAAGTTGATGGTACTTTAGTGAGTAATTATTTTTCTTTTTTTTTTTTTTTGATAATTGTATGAATTTAGGGTGGAAGTATTTCATGGTCTACAATGGAAGATGGTTTTGTATCAGATATTGTTTGGTGTTCAATACTTGATTGTTTTCTTGTTTTGGGTCGAATGGTTCTTTCATTATTTAATACACATTTATATACATGTACCAATATTGAACAAGTTCGTGGTAGTCAATCACATTATCTTATTGCTTTAACTTATGTTCAACAAGATAAAAGTGTTTTTATTTGTTCTCATCATCCAAAAGAAACTATTCGACAGTATGATATATTATCTGAATGGAATTTAAAAAGAACTTGGTCAAAAGATAATTTAATTAATCAAGATGATATTGGTAAAATATAATTGATCATATTTTAATCGTTTGCATAGCATTACTGTACAAGTCAAAGTCAAATGAGACTTGACTTGAAAAACATTTGACTTTCGTATTCATTAGTATTTGAGCTTCAATATCGAAAACAATTTTATAGATGTTAACTAAGGTGAAGTGTAATAGTCATCATCTATAGATATGTGCGAGTTTTATATTTTTATAATTAGGTATCTTTTTTTGTGGAAAGATTTGAGTAAAAAGAAAAAAAAAACAATTGATAGAGATTATATCTGTGAGTTAGAAGGACTTGACTTGACTTGTTCAACTTTGAAATTATATAGTTTTTATTGTTATTTAAGGTATTCGATGTATTCGTGTTAATCCATCTGGTACACAACTTGGTCTTGTTATTAAAAATAAAAGTGATCAATTTCGAATAGGTCTTTATTCAATGGATTTAACACATATATTTTCTACAATTCCAATTGTTCCTTCATCATCATTATTAAAAGGAATTCGAAGTATTGATTTTATGCTTTATTTAACACCATTTATTGATGATCATTTATGGTTAGTTGTTTATGGAAATGGAATTCATGAACATTCTCTTTTACTTATTAATGGTCAAACAGAAAAATCTGAAACAATTATTGATGATTCTATATTTAATGCTTGCATGTTAGATGAACAATATTTAATAGTTCGAATGAAACAATCAATATTGATTTATGATATTCAATAATGTAACATTATTGATTTGTTTTAGTATTTCGTTTTCGATTAGATGGAAAAAAACAAACAACAAAAAAAAAAACTGTTGAAAGAAAAGATAAATAAAAAAACAAATTTTTCAAACAATGATTAGTAACTATGATACAAGATGAAAAGTAAACTTTTGAGATAATTGATCGAAAATGCTAACTTTAGAGATAATCAAATTGTTACTAAGTTTTTTTTTTTTTTTCGATAACATTCTCGTTTATGAAATTGTTATGTTTCCTTGTTTTGTCTTCAGTTTTGCTTATAAAATCAAATATTTGAGTATTCACTCAAGTAAAGGATACCGTCACATTTTTTTTGTATAGGATAAAAAAGCACACACAATTAAATCTCAAAATGAAATCATCGATTATTTATTTTATTCGATTAAATTTAATATTCTAATATTAATAAGTATTATTCTTCGTTTATAAACATTTATTTCATGTTCATGGTGTCAACTCAAAGATTGTAATTAAATCGTTTTGATAATATTTGTATTACTAACATTTTGTACTTTGTTAAATGTATATGGACCAGATCCTATCTCATAGATACACATTACTGGACAATGATCAGACACTGAATATCCTCCTGTACAAAGTAAATTTCTCAGTACGTTCGCTAAAATTGGACGTGCATAATTGTTTTGCATTATCCAATCTAGTGTACAATCACCAAGATTATCTTCATGAGATATACTAGGACGTTGTGGATGAGTAGGAAGACAAGGTAATCTTAATGTACTAAAACAATCAATAAAACCAGCTTCACGTAGAATACGTCGTGGATGAAAACTTTCATTTAAATCTCCCATAAATAATACAGCCAAATGAGGATCATTAATTTGCGATTGTAAATTATATAAAATTGTTGCAGCACGTTGTGCTTGTTGTTTGCGTATATTAACGTTAGTTATAAGTTCTTCTGTATGACCTTCCCATGTAAAATGTGCAGTTGCCACAAGAATTTGTTGAGTATTGATACTATTTGATTGGTTTTTTCCTTCGATTGTTTGTTCAGGTATTTTATTAATTTTTAAAAGTACCCAAAAGAGACGTCTTAAAGGTTCCATCATACCAATATCATGAATACCATATTCTATCATATTGAATAGATTTGAATTCCAATAAATATTACTTTCATTTTGCCAACCAGCAAAATCATCTTTAACATAAGCATGAGTTGGTAAGGCTTCGATAATAAGATCATGAAATAGTGGATGTAATTCTTGTACACAAAGTATGTCAGGTGTAAACGTAGTTAAACACTCAAGCATGGGTAGACGACGATGTAGCCAATTGGCAGGATAATTACTAACTTTCCACATGTTGAAGGTCATGACCGATATGCGATGCACGTCCATAGCCGTATCTTTAACGGAGAAGTAAAAAAATTCGAATTAAAATAGTGACGAGATTTCTTTTTACAAAAGAAAATAATCAACAGAGAATCAATATTTTATTGCTATAATGTGAACCGATATTGTGGGAATATAGATATGATCCAGGAGTAAATAAAAGAGAGAAAAAGAAAAAAAAATGTAGGTTGATAAATACGAGCGAAGCCTTTTTTCTTGTCAGAAGGTTAATATGCGTTAAGAAGGGCAAAAAAAATATTACAGCTGTATTTCGTTTTTAATTTACTCCCATAGTACAAATGTTTTTTTTTTTCATTCTGATTAATAGTAAGATATTCAACATGATAAAACAAAGTATTATCAATGATCGTTATTTTTTCGAAATAGATCTAAAATAGAAGATATATAGATCATTTTTTATTTACAACGATGCACAAGCATATAGAGAAATTTTAACTTAGCTAATTATACGAAGCTCTGTTATCTGGAATGTTATGAGTATGAATATGTTCTGTTCTAGAGAAAGAATGTAGTAAAACTAATATTGTTAGAAATATGTCGAACAAAGTCTTAAGATGTTTTTATTATATAAGTAATTGAAAATCAAGTTCAATTAATGATAATTTATTATTAGAATAATAGACTTTATAAAATTTTCCTTTTCATTGAAAGCCAATAAAGTCAAAGTTAAATGGGTTACGATGTTTTCACATACCCGAATAGTTGAGTTGTTTTAGAGAAATCGAATTGCCTAAAAAATTAAATAAAAATATGTGTCCACAGAGATAAACTTTTTTGAAATGGTACCGATGAACTACGATCGTTTTGTGTTATAAAATCACTGTTTAGAATAACTTTCCTCATTTGCATTTTGTTTTCGTTGGCACGCGTTTTGATCTGACAAAATTACAAAATATGGTAAAAATTCACATTGCAACATTCTCTACTTTGATCAAGTAGCACTTGATTATTGTAGAAATGTTCTCTGACATAGAACATTCTCATCTATCAGCAATACTATTAGTAATATTTCAAAAGCATGTAATTCTATCATTGTATCTCGAAACAACAATCATTATATGGTGTAATGTTCACTGGTTTACACTATGTTATCAAGTTGTTTAATTTTTAGTTTTTAATTCAGAATACAAGTAAGTCAGACAGAAAACAATCCCATCGATAACGCTGATACTTCTCCGGAAAAGAAATGCAAAAGATACTTCATGAAGGTTTTTTCCGAGAGTTTTTCATTTTGATTTCAGAGTTCTTTTTAAACAAAATCAATCACAATCTTCAGTAAAATGATTTGATTGCAATGTCCATTATTACTCTACATACAATGCAACGTAATTTTAAATGTCGATTGTTTATATTTTCTGGTTTATATAGAATTTATTTTTATACGAACGTATAGGTCATAAAAATGTCTCGATCACAGTTATTTTCTATAAGTGTTGAATTGTTGCTGGACTTGAATTTTAGGCAAAGTAGTATCGATTCGAAACAGTTTATTGTTAGTTTCGTTAAGATATTCCATTTCTTTAGTCATACGTTGGATGTAAGAAGGAATTTCATCTAATGGCAATTCATTTAATGGTACGCCTTTGTTTCGTATTTGTTCCTTTTCTTGTGCGGCTATTTGATCGATCTGACCGAATGCTTGGTCTCGTTGAGTGTCTGCTTGTTTTATAATTCTGGTACGTTCAGTATTAACGAGTTCCTTAGCTGAAGCTGATAACCGATCAATTATACTGATTTTATCATTGAGAACATGTTGAGCTATGTCTATTTGTTGAGTAACAAGAGCAACGTGTTTTTGAGCGCAATCAATACAAACATGCTTTGAACAATGAAGACACTGCATATGAGGCGGCTTTTTACAATCTGCACATTTACGAATAGGTTTTTCCAAAGCAACAGAGTGATTATTCTCTACGCATTCGCTCTATGTAGGAAATAATGTGAGAAAATCATATGAAGGATTAAACTAAAGATAGTTTGGATGTTCAGTTTTTGTGAAAACTACTTACGACAGGATGCCATTCCGGAGAGGAGGCTATTGTCATACATTCGTCCGGTTCATTGTCAAATAATTGTGGTTCAACTTCTTCTGATGGGTACTCTAGATTAATAGAATAACGTCAAGTAATTAGAGAAATGCATCAATGGTACGATTATATGGCACTGATCTGAGATAATCTAGTAGCAACTATCCTGCATAGAGAAATAAAAAACAAAGTGTTTCATCTAATGAAGTTATGATGATTTATTGATATATGAATAAACTTAGAAGTTTTTTACCTTGTCTATCCATAAAGTCAATAGATTCATATTTAAAGCTGTAAACCGTTTCTATGAAATTGGAATTGGTCACCAACTAAAACTGAGCGTTAATATGTTTTCCATTTTAAAATGGGAGTGACTATCTTTACAATAATTTTTTGTTTGAAAAAAGACAGAAATTTGTAATGATCATTGTTGAAAGTATGGGGTAAAACAGTGCATCAGATAATAGAAATCCGGTTTTTCCACGAAATTTTCTCAATCTTCTGTAAATTTTTTCAGAAATTGAAGTTTTCAACTTGATTCGTCAGGCACAACTTTCATTGAAAAATGAGCAAAAAAGATAAATTTTGTTCAAATTTCTCTAAGTCTGAGGAGTCCAGTAAAATATCTAAATTTCAGATTAACTGATGTGAAATATATGAATTTATCTCATTTTCTAGAATTCTAAATAACATTTCAATTACACTTCTGAAAATTAAAAAAAATTCGATTTGCCTATCTTATGCAATATTTTATTTTGAAAACAAATTGATGAAAGATCCTGAGACAAATTAGCAGCAAATTCTAAATTATGACTCGATGAACAGTTCTCTGTTGGTCTTTCAAGGATAAAAACCGTGGATTTTGATCGTGTTTCAATCAAAAAACTGAGACAGAAAAGCATTCACTCTGCTTATATTCGCGTATGCATAACAACGCGTATTTAGTCTCAAATTGGTAGCTCATAATTTGATCAGGATTATATTTATACAATAAGCAATTGGACTATCTGAAGAAAACTATAATTTGAGATATTTTCTAGTGAACGCGGTTTTTTTTGGCTTCGTTCTTAGAATGATGTTTTTTAGTTTCATATATTCATCTCATTAACATATATTGAAAACTTCTATACTATTCTTCGTAGAAGTTGTACATAGCATACTAATACCTGACCAGTAATTCATGATACGCCTTACGTGCAAGGTGAATTTCAAAGACGAGCGACAATAGCAAAGTAGTTGCAGGTTACACTGAGACGGCAGAGGAAGAAGAAAAATGTGCCATAACACTTTCTCAAGCACACCTGTGTCAATAAAAGCGTCTTTCTGACACATGGCCACCAAAGCGACTTATAAATTCTTAAAAATGCATAAGCATTTAAAGAGGTCGCATTTAATCGTAAATAATGTTCGACGTCTTTGATTTCAATTCGAATCTTCGCATATGGACATTCAATTTTATTGGAATATTTCTTACGGAAAGTATAAATGAAAATCACGGTAAATAATTGTGAATATATTTGCGTAAGACTATTGAGAGAATACAGGTTTTTGCAAGAAACTTTTTTTTTACACATAACGTGTATACAAATAATTGACAAGGCCATACAAATAATATTTTCCTGGATATATTCACAGAAATTCTCTTTATATGTACATCGATCACGGCTTGAATCGCATAAAACTAGAATGTGAACGTGGAGAATTTTGTGTATCAGTTGTGTCATCAGATAAATAACCAGATTATTAGTTCATCCTATATTAACAAGTTCAGTTGATGCGTAGTGTAGAAAGTATGTATATATAAAGATAGTTTCGTCAATATTTGGTTTTTCATTCGTCTATTAATATATTTATAGTATTGTCTATGACTATTATCAGTTGTAAAAAAATGTTTGAATCGCTTTTAATCGACTACAAATAAATGGAATCAAGAGAAACATATTTTAGAAGAATATAAATTATTTGATTGAAACCATTCCAAATCAAGTTTATATATTGTTCTAGTTGCTAACAAGACTTGTAAAACATATGGTCTGATAGAGACAGTTGGGAATAAAATTTATTTGAGAAATTGTTTGTACTGAAACAAAGGATATTGTTTGCAGGCGACAAAAGCTGTATAAGAGAGATGAATAGAAGAAAAACCTACATGCGAAAACAACTCTAAAGTAAATTGTACTATGATCATTTCATTTAACAGTAGAATTAGAATGATATTTATTAAGTAACACTACAATTGTATATTCCTCTCTGATTACATTGCATTACAAATTTGAAATATCCTATATCAATAAAAAACAAGCGCCCTCTAGTGAATACCCTTGTTGAATGGCTCTGAGTTTCTTCGTATGGTTTTGCATGATTTCTATCGAAATTTATTAAAATTATTCAGAGAGTTTTTGTCTATTTGTCAGATATTCTTTTCACATCGACTGCTTTCTATTTTGTCCAATATTTTATGACTGAAAAAACTTCATATTTCTGAAAATGATTCATATTAAAAACATCATTGATGATCATCATGGATCTATTTCTACATTTACTATTTTAACATATAATTGTCTTGCTTCGAATCTTGCTGAACCAAAATATTTTCCACGAACTGATCCAACACATCTTGATTTTTCTTATCGATCGAAATTATTTGAACATGAATTACAATCATTCAATGCTGATATTGTTTGTTTACAAGAAATTCATCAAGACGATTTTCATCAATGGCTCAGTCCATTTCTTTTTCAATTGGGATATGGCGAAGGTACTTTTGCTAAACGTGGTGGTACCAAAGCTAAGGATGGTGTTGTGATATTTTTCAAACGAGATAAATTTAAACTGATAAATCAATATCGATTAGATTATTTCGATATTGCACAAGTTCAATTTCCAACAGAAGCATCATTAGCTACATACAATGTTGCTCTCTTTTGTCTTCTGCAAATTCAAAATAATAAGGTAAAATTAAACAATATTTATAGTGTAACCATGTTCTTTTAAAATTATCGAATGCTCATTGAAAATCAACAATCATCAACATAGCTGAATGTTAATTTTATTATAATTTAGATGAAGTTTTTTTTAATAGACATGACTGTTTTTAGACAAATGTATCGAAAGAAGAAGAACAACGACTTTGGATATGTAATACACATATAAATTGGAATCATACTCTACCTGCCACACAACTTTTTCAAATTCGTACTCTTTTTAATGAACTTACTCGACTAAATAAAGATACTAGTCATAAACCGTTTGTAATTGTTGGTGATTTTAATAGTACACCTAATTCAGTTGTTCATGATTATATTAGAAATGGATTTATTACAGATACAGCTGATTATTATTCTAAAATGCATGAAATCTATTTACCATTGTTTGATGGTGATTCAACTAAAACCAAAAAATATCTTACTGAATCTCATATGTATAAAAATGTCATGGAGAGTGCTTATAATAAAAATACATTTTTAATGCCATTTACTACACGAATTGCTGATGATTTTTGTGGAACTATTGATTATATTTATTATCAACATGATCGTATACGTCCGCTACAGTTATTAAACGCATTGCATAATGACGGTGAACGAGCAATTCATGATGATTTTACTTTACCAAATGAACAACATCCAAGTGATCATTTACCATTAATGGCTGAACTTAATTTAGTTTCATGGTCTCCTGAAAATGACGATACAAATGAATAATTAAAAAAAAACACAAATAAGTAATTTAAAGTTATAACTTCATACAATTTATGTCTGTAGATCTTTTCAAAAATAAGCATAAATTTGGGATAACAATTTTTTCTTAGGGTAATGAAAGAATTTCTTAAATGATGAAAAATATTTAACAAATTTATTCATTACTTATGTTTTCTATTTTAGTTATTTTTTGTACAAGTGAATACATATTAATCAAGATTCTGATGTTTCACCAATGGAACTTGAATTATTCGGCAGTTTATTATCTAAAATTATTTATGATGTCCTTTTTGTTCATAAAAAAATAAGAAGAGAGACGAACAAACTAAATCCTGCATATCATTGCAAAAATGTCATAGTTAAGAACATTACTGGCAAAGCGATTCTGTGTTAGCATGATAATCTCTGGCAATTTGTACTATACATACTGCTGTATGCATTAATTTAGTTTTTTTCTTCAACGTATATTTATTTATTTCTCATTAAAATGAAATCACTCTCATATATCCAATCTATATTGGCTCAATAATTTTGTTCAATTTTTCGAATTCGCTCACAGTTATTAATATTCATGACCACACATGCTTAGTAGCTGATTGATGATCATAATATCTTTCAGTTTTGATGACGCTTCTAATGTAAATAAATGGTCGTATGGCAAAGAAGTTTATCTTTACAAACTAAAGACTGTATGATCGAATTTTACCTTTGGAGAAAAATCTTGCGTGTTCATGTATGCGTACAACATGATCTTCGATTTTCGGTCATTCTAAAATTGTCTTGCATTTTTCTTTACAGTAAAATTATAAGCTTTCATGTTAGATTGGAAAATTGGCTATGATAGTAAAGAATTAACAATGGACAGCAGTAGAGATAGATCATTATCCGGTATTATAAAAATGGAATTATCTTCCATCTTCTCTATTAGTTAATCATTTCAGAGATTTTTTTCTATTGTTGAAATATCCGGGATTAAGCGTTTAGATCTATATACACAATCGACTACCAACTTTTAATTGAGTTATTGGTCTTAAAATACACTTCATGCGCTGAGGGTTCGAATATCAGATTACTAGTGATAGACATTTCTAGAGCATTTCTGAATTTTTTTTCAAGAATTATAACAACTATTATTCTCAAGAACTTCTCGTTGTTAAATAAAGAGAAAAGAAAATCATTCTAATAATGAACACCAATAACTTGTCTCTAGGCAGAAAGAATAAAACTGGTTTAAATCCGTAACATCGCTGAGAATAAAACTGGTTTAAATCCGTAACATCGCTGAGAATAAAACTTTTCGAATGTCAGGATTTGATGTATAAGCAATACAACGATTCTTTTTTCATGGCAATTCTTTGACGACTTTCGTCCATCCTAGTTTGTGACAGATGTAGTATCTTAAATAATTAAAGAAATTAACGCATAATAGTTTATGTTCTCTACAGATTCTATCAAATTTTGTATTACCTATTGCTGGCTCACTTCGCATGTTCTCAATCTTCATGATGCTGATGCGCTTGACTGAAAGCACAATAGTGGATTTCGAGTAGAGACACTAAAGACGACTGTCCTATGTTTCGAAAAATTTTTCGATCTTTCTGAACAGAAAAAACCTAAACTTGATCTGATAATACGCTTAATGCACTTCAAAATACGTTTCTCAACAATGATCGCCTTTATTTCCATCGAAGAGGCTCAATTTATCAAAATCCTAGGTATTCGATTGCTCAAATAGACTTTATGACATCAATATTTTATGTTGATTATATGAGCAAAGCATCTGTTGCACGAATAATTCACTTTGATGATCAAGCTTAAAAATCTTATTGTAAAACCAAAATCAACAACGTCAATAATCAATCTATGATTTGTCTATATATTTAGAGAAAAGTTGTTCAGTAATTTCTTTTAATCCTACAATTTTTTATCATCACAACGTATTTCAATATTATAGTGACTTTTATCCAATAGAAAATGTGTAATTTATTTTTAACAACAAAATATTCAGTACGATAATATTCTCCTGTTCGCCATGTTAATACATTCTTAGATAATATTTTTAAATCTGAATGAATCATAAAACAACAAATCACCAAAATAAAAGATACATTATTCAAGCTTAACAATATCTCTTTCTATTACCATTGATGAAATATTTGAGGTCGTAGTCAATGTTATCTCTAGGAATTTAGCATATAAATGAAAAAGCTATGAAGGCAAATTCTGCAAGATTAAAATGTCAAACACGACGTACCTGCTATTGTTAATTGCAGAAAGATTGTTTTACTCTATCTATTTTGAGAAGTATTTCTTCAATATCTTTTCACGTAATCCTGCACAAATACAATAAGTATTTCATATATTATAACGAAACACTATTGATAAACCATCTATGATTGTATATCAACGATGTCTGTTACAGTGATAGAGATAAGGGGTTCAAATTTCTACCCCTATAATTCAAACACTTATTTTAGGTTGTGTTTCACAAAATTTCTTCTTATAAAAAATAAAATTCTTGGATAGACACCATAGGTAATTATAAAAACTCATTTCTTATTCAGAGATCAATGAGTTTAAAAAAAAACAGAAGTTTACCATATCTTATTAATTTAAACAAACCTTGAATATTCATATGATTCATATTAAGCTATTGTGAAGTTCAACTGAAATGGAAATGAGTTTGCATCTATGATGTAATGAAAGTATTTCTCCATCCATTCTATTAACTCTTCATAAATAGTAAAAATGTATCAATCCTTTTTTTTCCCATAAAAGATTATTTTCTTAACTGTAACATTTTTTTCTTATTTCTTATCTAATCATTGATTGTTATTTTGTTTTATCTAATTGTGTATAACAATATCAAAAAAAAAAAAGAAATACAAAACAAACGGATTCTAATTAATTTTGTGTGTGACGTAATTGAGCAATTTGTGTTTTAAGTTCATCAATTTCTTGTTGTAAACAATCAGCTTCAATAGTTTGTGGAATTTTTGAACGAAGAATAGCTTTAAATTGTTCAAGTGGCGATGAATATGATACAGAATACGATATATTAAGTTGTGCTACACAATCTGTTAATGCATCAATAGAACCTGACATTTCCAAATAGACTTGAAAAGCTTGTAAACGATTAAATAATTCCGTTGACAATGATAATGAAGGTGACGATGATGTTCGATCTGATGATGATGAACCTGATACAGAATCAATTATTGGTGAATTGGGTGGAATTGATGACATGCTTATTTGATATAGAAATTTAAATGAAATAATATATACTTTCTTTTACGTTCTTTTTTATGAATAAACTATGTAAATCAGGCAATAAACAATTTTCCCCACCTCTTTCTCTCTCTGTCTCTGTTTCTTTTCCCTCGCTTATTCAATAACGAATAGTCTTCATAAGAACATGAAAAAGAAAATCTTTATAATTTCATTTTTCTTTCTTTTTTAAAACTTTTAACATTAGAAGTTATTATTAATCTAATTTATAATACAATAGTGCGCCCTCTATTGCTTCAACAAGAATCGAATGTTCGGTCCAGAATTTATTCCTTAAATATTAATTTACTGATTGATACACTAAATCAATGAGCGTAATTGCATGAGTAATTAGATAAGAACAAGATAAAATGTTTTTCATTCCGTCATTTGTTTCTACTTGTTTTTGATGATGTATCACATATTTTCGTGGTTGGTTTTTATTTTAAATATTCTTAATGTATTATCACAATCAAATATAATAATCACAACAACAACAACAACACCTTTATCTCCTTTACAATCTTCAAATGATAAACCTTTCATAACACAATTCCTTGTTTTTTCATCTAATACAGAAACATCTATTAGATTTGAACCAAAACATGGATGGCTTCTTAATTCAGAGAAGAAATTGCGTCTTTATATAAGTGGTTTTAATCTTCAGAATAATTCAATTGTATTTTCAGCTTTACAAGATGAATGTACATCGAATGATTTTATATCACCTATATATAATTTATCATCAGCATCAATTATTGAACTCGATGTTCATCTTGAAAGTGTATCAAAAATTCATTCATCTATATTTCTTTGTCTTTTACCATCAATAACAACACAATTAAACAATAGTTTATTACAAAATGGAACACAATTAAAAGGACCATATTTTACATTCCTACGCGAGAAAACTACAATACCACTTGCAGTAAAAATATGTTTAGTTCTTATGTTATTTGTTTTTTCGGGTTTTTTTAGGTAAAAGAAAATTTATTAGTATTTTTATTTTCATTATTTGTTGCTTTCGTTTTTTTTTTCAAATTAAATTTAGTGGTTTAAATTTGGGTTTAATGTCATTGAGTGTCAATGATTTACGTTTACTTGCCGAATCCGATGATTCTTCAATGCGTTATTATGCTAAACGTGTTTTACCATTAAGAAAACGTGGCAACTTCTTATTATGTTCAATTGTTTTAGCCAATGTATTAAGTAATTCATTAGGAACAGTTTTACTTGATTCACTTGTTCATGGTTTATTTGCTGTTATTGGTTCAACAGGAATGATTGTACTTATGGGTGAAATTATTCCACAAGCTATATGTTCTCGTTATGGATTAGTTATTGGTGCACATACACATCTTATAACATGGGGTTCTATGATAATAACAGGAATTATTTCATATCCATTAGGTTTTATTCTTAATAAAATTCTTGGTCAAGAAGTAACAGCTTCTTATACACGTGATCAAATAGCTCGAATGCTTACAAAAATTAATGCTGATATTGAAAAACCTGAACTTGATGTTATTACAGGTACGTTGAAATAACAAGTCGTGTTTCTACTTATAAAATAAATATTTACTTAGATTTGAATTAGTTTTTTGAAAGTATTAGTTAAATATTATTTAAATTTGTAATTATATTTACATTTTTTTCTATCTAGTTTCTTATTGAAGATCTCGAACTTTTAAATAAGACGTGAGTTCAATTAAGAGTTGAAAAATAAATGGAGGTTTAAAAAAAAAGTCGATTGAATTATCTCAAAATCAAAACTCGTAAAAGAATTTGAAAATGACAAAAATCTATAAAAATGGAAAAGTATTTATATGATATTCTATTTTTTAAGGTGTACTTTCATTACGTAAGAAAGCTGCAAGTGATGCCATGACCTTGTTATCTGATGTTTATATGCTTGATAAAGATCGTAAAACAGATGCTGAATTATTACTTGATGTACATAAACATGGTTTTTCACGTATTCCTGTTTATTCGAAAGAAAGGTTCTGCATGCTGTTTTTTATTTAATTAAATATTCTAAAAAATGTATATCTTTTTCAGATCAAATGTTATTGGTATTGTTAAATTAAGAGATTTTGCTTTAATTACACCAGAACAATACCATTTAACCGTAAAACATGTTCTTGAATTTCATAGTCGTATGTAAAACTTTATTTGTTAATGTTTACTTTTATTTTTTAAATGATAAATAGATGTATATGGCCACGCAAAAGCAACTGATTCGTTATATAATTTAATGCAAGAATTTCTTAAAGGTAAAAAAAACAACAATCAACTTTTAATAAAATAAGAATAATTTGATTGTTTTTAATTAAAGCACATTGGCATATTGCTCTTGTACAAGAAGTTCGTACTGAAGAAAATCAAGATGAAATAGTATATGTAACAGTTGGTATAATTACACTTGAAGATGTTTTTGAAGAAATTTTACAAAGAGAAATTATAGAAGAAACTGATATGTTTAGTAAATTCATTATTATTTTTAAGAAAGACTTTAAATAATAATCAATTACTTATATTATTTTAAGCTGATAATCGTCGTAAAATTCCACGTAAACGTGCTAAGACATTGGATTTTACAGCATTGACTAAACGACCAGTTAAAGGTTGATTATAATTTCTTTTGAATTCTATGACATAAGTTCTTCGAATTCAGGTCCTTCAATATCTCCACAATTAAAAATAGCTGTATTTCAATTTGTAAGCACAAGTAAGTTAATCGAATAATTCTATACTTTTATTTACTAATTATAATATGACTCTTTCACATACTAATGCTAACAACATATTCTATTCTAATTATAGTTCATATATATATTTTGTAACGGTGTGTAAGCTGTTTTTATAATTGGTACCTTGAAATTTTTTAAGTTACCTTGCTTAGTATTCATGAAGTGATTTATATTTTTTTATTTGACGAAAGAAAAAAGAATCTAAATTGTGTTTACTTAGATGTGCAGCAATTTGCATCAGGTTTCATTTCTCAAGAGATATTAAAAATTCTTCTTAATTATAATATTTATGCAATAATCAAACAACAAGCAAGTCAATCAACAAATTCCATATATTTATATAAAAAAGGCTTTCGATATGAATTATTTACATTGATTATTCAAGGAAATGCAACGTTAGAATCTGGTGTTGAACATATAATGTCCACTGTTGGCCCATTTAGTGTTTTTGCGACATCAGCACTTCTTGGTAAAAGAAAAAAGACAAATAATATTTTAAAAGTAAAAATTTGATTTTGTTTTTTTTAAGCGGAAGATAAAACTGTAAAAGATGTTCATCGATTTCTTGATCTTATTTCTACAGGAAATAAAAAGTTGAATAATATAACAAATATGCTTGATGAAATTTCTTCAATATTTGTTGCGGATTATAATTTAATTGTTAATAGTGAATTACATATTTTACAAATTCATCGTCTTGTTTGGTTAGCAGCTGTTCGAGCAACACAACGACAACGTAGTAGTGATCAACGTCAAAAATGTATGCAACCAGAACAATTATTATCAAATGCACTTGATGAAATAGTAAAAGACAGAAAAAACAAAACAAATTATTTTTTTTTGAAAACGTTTTCTTTTTATTTCTTTTTAAGTCATCTGTGACAAATGTCCGAATTGATAAAAATAATTTAACTAATTTTCAACGCATATTTCTTAATGAACAAGATATTATACATCATGTAACACAAACAAAAAATGGAAATACAGATATTAATAATCAACCATCATCATTAGTTTTTGAACATATTCATTCCATAGATGCAGATAAACATGATAATTCAAATAAACAACAAGAAATAAATAGTCATGGAAATGATTCATCAGAAAAACACGAGCAATCATCGATCGCTATGGCTTGTAATCCACTTCTTGTGAGTCTACTTAGTGATCAATCAAATAATGAAAAACATTCCAGTAAACAAAATTGTAACAGTTCAAATACTTCATTAAGTTCAAATGATATTTCCAATTCAATGATGAATATTAATCAAATGTTTGATGATACAAATGATAATGTAAATAACATATTCATGTATATTTTTAGTTTTACTTATGTTTTCTCTCAAAACGAGGTCTTAGAGGAAACAGTAAAAAAAGAAGAAGAAGAAGAAATTTTCTTAAAAAGAAGAATAGTAATACAAAAATCGGTTTTGTTAGAAAGATTAAAACCATTTTTTGATAATCGATAATATTTAAAACGTTCGAATTTAATTTCTATTGAGTGAATTTTTGAAAAGTATTTGTAGGTCTATTAGTTAATTTATATAAAATAATAAGATTATTTGATAATATTCTTATGATTGGTCATATACAATCATAAGATTTATCTTGATTTCGATTCATTGAAATAGAAGTCATTGACGTTAATGTAGAATTAATCTAGTCTACCTTTCAGATCACTTTATTGATTAGAAAATTTTCCATATCTATTAAAATTTACGACATTTTTTATTATTTCATATGATATCTTATTCAAAATTTTCATATACTTTTATTAAAAAATTTTTCAAGATATTTAATTGACATTTGAAGATTTTAGTTCGTATATCCAATAATAAACGAAGGTTAATAGTCAATTTACTCTTAAGATAACAGTAAAATCTAGAATAAGAATAATAATAAAAAAAAATTTTTTTTTTTCATTAAAAATTTCTAATTCATAAGAGTTATTTTTACCGTTTGGTTATTTCTTGGATTTCTTTATTTATCAATGGATTTATATATATTAGCACACAAAAAAAAAGCAAGGTTATTTTTAACTTTCAATAACAATAATACTAAGGATATTTTTGTTGTTGTTGTTATTGCTGATATTTTTATTGATATATTCAGACGATTGATGATGATCATGGCCAAGAACAAGAACATTTAATTGATCAAGGTGATTATAAACGCAATCTATGGCAACGACAAACAACATCTCCATCTACTTTATTTCATTCTCGTTCGGATACAAATATAATAATGAATTCTCCATCATCTGATCAAAATGAAATAACAAATAATAATAATAATAATAATCCCATAGATGGGTCTAAACGTGTTCGTTCAATGTTTAATACAACAAAATGTTCACCTTCATAAAATTGGAATTTATGCGTATAATAATATGTGTGTGATAAATTCTTTTATTTGCAAATTTTTTTTTTTCATTGAATATTCATTTTGTTCAAGCATAATTAGAAAAAAATACTTGAATTTTTTTTTTTGTTTTCGATTTAAGTATATTATCTCATTCCTTTCATTTCAAGTTTAAAAAAAAAAAGAAAAAAAAAACTAAATCACAAGAAATTATTTTTTTTGTTTATATATTCACATATTTATTCGTTCATTCGATAGGATCAAGGAAAAGAAACGAAAAAAAAAAAAAAAACTTGAAAATCAGATCGATAAGCCAAATACAGAGACAATAGCATACATGGATTTGTTTTCCCAACTAAAATAAAATAAATTTCTTTTTTTTGTTTACATATATGAAAATTAATTTTTATTTATTTTTACCGAACAGTACATGAGCCATCGGTTGTATTATCCCAAAAACATGAACTTGCTGTATGTAAACCAGCTCCATTTTTTTGCATAATAACACATGATACAATATATTTAAACGGTTTATTCAATTTTGTTAATGAATTAAGAATAGCTTCAACAATATTTGATGTCCATGTATTAATTTTTGCTTGTTGATATGATTGTGATCCAATTGTTGCTTCAATTGATTCTTTTATTACATTTGATACTTCATCAACAACAAAGCTTGTTTCATTTGTATCATCCATTATTTTTTTTTTTTTCGTATGCTATCAAAATTATTGTACAATATTAGATAAAAATCTAAAGAAAGAAAAAAGAAATTAAATCTAAACAAACGAATATGTGAACTTGTCTTTATGCAGCATAAAAACATGTATGTTATTTTTCTCTGAATATCCACAAATATGTATGATGACATAGGATGATAAATATCTTTTTTATTTTTTCTTTCTCTTTCTCACCTAATCAATAGATATGTTTCTATAGGGACCAAGTTCACCATTTCTATGAAAAAGACAGGTATAGAACAAAATAAACTGAATAAGTGGCAGAACGACGTGTGAATATATAATCGTACATATATTCTTCTCCGCCAACATCACACATATACACACGCACACCACAATCTTTGGGCAAACAAAAGCAACAGCAAGTATAAAGAAGCTACGGCGAGAGAAAAAAAACCGAAAGAAAGTAAAAAAAAATGTGCGTGTGTATGCCGGTAAAGGAATTCAAATATGTTTATATACGGTGACGACAGTGGTTGCCGTTGCTGTTGTTTGAAGAAGAACGGATAGAGAGAAACAAAAGAGAAAAACGGGCACGGTGGCCGTGGTAACTCTGCCGATGTTCATTCATTTTTTTAAAAATGTTTTCTACTATTTTATATGCTGGTGTCGATATATGGTTGTTAGAAAAGAGAAAGATCGATTGGACGAACGGCATGAATTTATTCTCTCTCTCTCTCTCTGATTTTAAAATAACTAGAAAAGGAAAAAAATGGAGATTTATAAAGGTGAGAATGTCGACGAGAAATGTTGCAATAGAATGAGTAGTACTGGCAACAACTAAAACATCATTCTTTGGCTTCTTCTCTTCTCTTTTGTGTTCTGTTGTAAAAAGAAAAAGAATAAGTGTATGCGTGTGATGCATGATGAAAGGAACAGATGTCGAGCTTGGCCTTTGGTAAAAAGTCCTTCTTACAATTCTGTTTCTCTTTTTTTTTTCCTCATATAAAGAAATATAATTTTAATGAGGAAAGCTAAACATATATATATATATATATAATCTTATAATAAACAAAGAAAAATAAGAACAATATGTTTATTTAAAATGATCATTAGAATTTGGTTCAATGCAAATCAAGAAAAATTTAATTCTATGAAAAAATGCAAATAGTTTTAAAATGAAATTAAAAAACTTTGTTTTTTTTCATTTAAAATTTTTAATTAATCAATGATCTAAAGAACAAATTCGATCATGAGAAAAATGTCAGATTATTAACAAGTTACAAAGTTATTTTCTATTGTTATATTCAACACATAGAAATCTGTTAAACTGTGAAAAAGAATAGTTTAATATATATAAAGTTATTCATTATAGATACTATTCCCGACTTTTAGAAAAATCCATTATCATATAGTAATATTGCGTGACTGAATTAAACAAGCTCATAACAAAGTTGTTAGTCAAACACCTGAGTTTTCACAGTTTAGGATAATCTTGTATTACAATGATATCGATAACTCTGTAGAATAATATGTTAAAACTTCTATTACACAACAGAGGTATACATGCAAATTAATGATGTTTTTATATTCATTTATAATATATGAGATAATATCTGTTTTCTTGGATATTATATTGAACGTATCATCATTGTGGATTTTTCTATATTCTATTTCATTTTGTATGGGAATTTTCTTCTTTTTAAAGTCATTTTCTGATCAAGAAAAAGATATATGGTTTTGTTTAGTGGATAGTGTTTGAGTACTATTTTCATGGTCGACTCTTCATTTTACACAATTGAAAGTAAAAAGAAAACAAACGAAGGTAGGCAAACATCTTTTCTTTTACTTAAAAGAAAAGAAATATCTACATCAAACTTATTGTAGATATGTGAAAAAATAATAAGTGTTTGATAAGTTTATACCCCATTTTTATTTTTCTATCTTGGCCCTATTTGAAGGTGAATGGATATTGAAAATATATGTATTTGACGAGTAGCATATAAGCCATCATTCAAGAGAAATAGGGCTCAATTTGCATCAACTCAAGCAAAATACTACATTGGTAAAAATATCAAAAAAATTTATCAACGTTATTTTTTTCGTCTTTGATGAATCGTATCTCCGTAAATACAAAATCAAATACCATGAAATTTTTACTATGAATGGGCTCCAGTTATATCTATAATCCAGAAAATTTTTATTCGTTTTGGTACATCCAAAACAGAGTTATTCTCGAAATACTAATCACTACGAATGTCACGAAACAAAATTTTTTGTAACTCTCGGTCACGTCAAAAAAAATTATTTTTAATAAATTTTTTTTCGATATTTTTATCAATGTAGTATTTTGTTTGAGTTAATGGAAGTTGAGCCCAATTTCTTTTAGATGATAACTTATATGCTACTCTTCAAATCATATATATTCAACATTCATTCACCTTCAGATACAACTAAGATACAAAAAACAATGGAGTAAATACTTATGAAATATCCTTTGTATCTGAGTGTATTTATGTGTATCAAAAGTGTGAAAATTAGATTGGTACTTAACTAAGCAAAGATAAAAAATAATCAGTAATTTTTGTACTTGCTACAAGTCAAAAATACGAAAGTTTGTCTCTTCATATATCATTTGAATGTCAAACTGATTTATTAAGTTTGTAAAATGATATCTAGAAATTTTGACAATGCTCAATGGATTATTCAAGATAATCAGGAAACAACAAACTGAAATAATTCAGAATTTCTTTCGACTAATTTGATCATACTATCATCGTTTATATTGTTTTATCTTTGATCTGTATTAAATCGTATTATCAAAATCTTGTCTTCTACACCAATCTCAATGGCATTTCGATATTATTCAAAACCTATTGCCTATCAAATAGAGATAACCTGCTAAAAGTATAATTGATATTCTATAAGAAAACAAGGTCTCGATGTCTTAACAACCAATTAAAACATTTTAAACAAATTGAATCTATTGAATTTAGTTAAGATTCTTTAAAGAAAACACAGATAACCAAAGGATATATATAAGTTGAAAAAAACGTACTCGGTGATTTTTCAGACCTCATCCAGGTCACTTTAAATTTGAATATTAGATGGATAAATGATGAATTTCTCTAATTGATTGAAAATATAGTTGATTAATAAAGGCTTTTTTTGTTTTTATTATTCTTTTCTACATCGTAATCAAGGCACATATGCTATCCGCTTTTATCACATATTCTCAGAAGACATAAAAATTAGTTACAAGAAACAAAAGGAAGACAATGATTAATAGACAGATGAACAAGCTACATTTTACAATATACATACAAACTTATGAGTATCTTAAATTTTCAAAAACATAGAAACTTCGTTAAGTAATAACGATGAAAAAATATCGACCATATTAAATATCCATAGAAGTGTGTATATATATATATATATCGTCATTATTTATACATAAACTGATTCTTATTACCTACTACAACTATATATACATATTTTTTTGGTTACTTTTTGTAAATAATTGCACCATGAGAATTTCCAATTTTTTTTTCTCTATAAACATAGTGTCAAGAGAATCTATTTGATTGCCTAAATGCAAATGTGTAGCATGACAATAGATTGCATTTAATATAAAACTCAAGGAAGCTACGATTGTTTCCTAACAATTGATTTTCCTATATTCAATGGATACTATCGGTATGGATTTTTTTATTTCAATTTTTGTTTTACACAATAAGAAATAATTCGATTCTTTTGTAATTTATATACGAGTAGATATTATTATGTTAAAAAAATTGATAGTTAAAAACAACAGTGAAAAATTAAAATAGTTATGACTTGAGTTATAACTTTCAACCATTTTAACTCATTCATTTTCTGAATAGTTTTAATTAAGTTGAAATAATAATCATGACGATTTAGTTGACATATTTGATAACATGATTTTTTCGGCTTCTTGTATTGATAATTAGAATGTGAATAAAAGTCTAAGTGCTATTCGAATTCTGTTTTGATATTCGCTAAGGTAGAAATCATTTTCGATATATGATGTGATGAACTTTAGATAACGATTTCTGTCAATATAATTATGTATACTTTATTTCAGCATGGAATCACTGCATCATTATTCTCTGCAGAACTGGGCAAGTACAAGTATCTATTCGTACTTGCCCAACTCTGATTCTCTGTACAGTCTTGCACGCATACTATGACTTATATCAGTACGTATATTAGTCGACTATTCTTTGTTCACTTTTTCTTGTTGATCTATTGACTAACTGAAATGCGAAATAAAAACACCAAGAAAATAAGACAGCAAGTGCAAACGAAAAAGGGTATTGAGAGAACTGAAGATATGATGATTGTCTTCTGATATACCAAAGGCAACAAGAACTATTTGTTAGATCATTTGAAACAGCAACAAGCGGATGAAGACATATTAATATTTAGTGTATGAGCGCGTCACTTATTTGTGAACAAAAATACGATTAATAATTTTAATTAGTTCAATATCATGAGCAATCTTGAAAATAATGTTCATTTGTAATTGTAAATGAACGGATTTTGAATAAGGCTTACTATTATAGATATGGTCAAAAATTATAACTATAGTTGATAGATATAACTTTCATTGAAAATGATAATAATTGTAACTTAAGACTGATCTATTCTATCATGAAATTTTTCAAGACAGAGTTTTAATATGAAACTATGTATATTTGATATCTATATTATGAATAAAAATGATTGCATATAATTTCCGTATTCTGTTCGTAGCTGTTAACATTGTGAAAATTCTTAATTGTGCACGACAAAGAAAAGAGTCTTATTCACATTTGACACGTAACTTGCAGATAAATTCATTAAAAAAGATTCAGAAAAAAATATATAAACGTTGATTATCTACTTTACAAAAAAAAAGCCGTTGAAATACATATATTTTCATTTATACTATTAAATATGTTAACTAAATCAAAGTGACTAACTAGTTCAACTTAATTAAATCTACTCAGAAAATGAAAAAATTAATCGATTTAAAAGAATTGATAGTTAAAACTATGGTTGATGATTTGAACTCAGGCAATTTTAACTATTATACTTCCTGCACTAAAAATTCGAATTAATTAGTAGGCTTCTAATTTCTTTTTAATGAGCTTTTAGAAAAATGAGATAATATCTAATTTTTATTTTTTTCTTGAAAAGTAGAAATTGATATTTGAGAATCGAACGGACACGTTTCCATCTTTTTCTTTTGTTTCTAATAATCGAATTACGTGAGTCTACTTGAACTAATTTGTTATTTGATCTATGGTATATAGAAGCAAGTGAAAATGTTCAAGAACGGGCAGAGATAAAAACGTCAAAAATTTTGACAGCTACTAATAATAATACTAGTCGGAAACTAAGCGCCACGGAGCAACTAGTTATATTGACAACATCGGCTTTGGCGTTGCCTCGGCCATCGCCCACCGTTCCACGAGATTTATGGACAAATAAAGTTGAATTTCTTCTATCGGTTATTGGCTATGTTGTCGATCTTGGTAAGAAATTAAAATAAAATTTATTTGTTGATTTCATTTTGATTTCAAGGCAATGTCTGGCGATTTCCTTATGTATGTTATGACAATGGTGGTGGTGCATTTCTTATTCCATATATGATATTTTTATGTCTTATTGGTATACCAATGATGTAAGTTCATATTTTGTTGAGAATAATAAAAGAAGTTTTATTATATTTTAGGTATCTTGAATTATTTCTTGGTCAATTTTATCGTTGTGGTAACATAACACTTTGGGGTAGAATAGCTCCATCAATGAAAGGTATTGGTATAGCATCATTTCTTATTGTCACTGCTGTAACATTATTTTATACAACAATAATTGGTATTAATTGAAAATCTATTTTTGTTTTTATTTATTGTAATTATAATTTTGTTTATTTTCTTAGCTCATGCTGTTTTTTATCTATTTTCATCGTTTCGTGAAGTAATGCCTTGGAGTTCATGTTCACATACATGGAATACACCTTTATGTTCTGAACGTATGCGTACTGAAACTGAAAAAAACTATACTATTGAACAAATACATTTCAGTGAAATAAATGGTATTTTTTCTTTCAATGAAACACAAAAAATTAATTCAATTACTGACTCAAAAATTTCATCAGCTGATGAATATTACAATATCTATATGTTAGGTATTAATAATTCAAAAGGTTTAACTGATTTGGGTAGTATTAAAATTGATGTACTTTTATGTCTAATATCAATATTTGTTGTTATGTATATGTGTATTTATCGTGGAGTTAAAAGTACAGGTAAAATAAAAGAAATCTTAATTTCTTGTAAAATTTTTCGAAAAATATTATTTAGGCAAAGCTGTTTATGTAACAGCTACATTACCATATATTGTATTAATAATATTACTTGTACAAGGTTTACATTTAAAAGGTTCACGTAATGGTATAACATATTTTTTAAAACCATCATTTAGCAAATTAAAAAATATGAAAGTTTGGTATTCAGCAGCAAATCAAATTTTTTTTACACTTGGTCCTGGTTTATCTGTATTAACAACTTATGGTTCATATAATGTTTCAAGTAATAATTGTTATTATGATGCATTAATTGCTGTTGTAGCCAATTTTGCTGCAAGTTTTCTTTCTGGTTTTGTTGTCTTTTCGGCATTAGGTCATATGTCATGGCGTTTAAAAAAAAAAGTCGAAAATGTTGTTGATCAAGGACCAAGTTTATCATTTATTGCCTATCCAGAAATATTAGCAACATTTAAATATCCAGCACTTTTTTCCATATTATTCTTTTTAATGGTTATTAATTTAGGACTTGATAGTGATTTTGGTGGTTTAGAAGCAATGTATACAGCATTGAGTGATGAATGTCCATTACTAAAACGTCATAGAAAATCTGGAATGCTCATTATGTGTTGTTTACTAATTGTTGCATGTTTACCAACAGTTACACAAGGTTAATGAACATATATCATGAAAGAGAAAACAATTAAAATTAATAAATTATTTTTATATTTTTTAGGTGGTAATTATGTTGTACACTTTTTGGATAAATTTTCAACAGCTCCAGCACTTATGCTTGTTGTGATGATGGAAGCTATTGCTGCTAGTTGGGTAAGTTCCATAAGTGTTCAAAAAAACGATAATACCAATAATAATTATTATTATTATAAAAAAACAAAAAAAAACTTTTTAGGTTTATGGTATAAATAATCTTGTGAATGATATTCGTACAAATCTAGGTTTTGAACCAAACCGTTTTCTTCGTCTTGCTTGGACAGTTTTATGTCCTCTTATTGTCATAATACTTATGGTATTAGCATTAAGTTATTCAGATGAATTAAAATACGGCGATTATACGTTTCCATCATGGTCAATTATATTTGGTTGGTGTCTTAATATGTGTTTTATTTTACCAATTCCTATTGTCATGCTTTATGCATTTATTCGATATACTGATTCAAGAAATTCTTTCAAACAACGTTTTTGTCTTTTATTTGTACCTGATATAACAAAGCGTAGAATTAAACAACAAATTGAGAATGGTACTGGCTATACAATGTCGTCATCATCGGCTATTTCACATGTTTGACTGTTGTTCATTTGTTCGTATATATTTAGATAGTTCTTTTAAATAAATATAATTAGACATGTATGTGTTCTATTTTATTGATCAATTTTTAGTATTAGACATAAAACAGAAAAGAAATAAATAATTGTATATATATAAAAAATATATTCAATATATATATATATCATGGATTTGCTGTTGATGATTGAAGTAAAGGCAATTTCCGATGATCGCCATCAACGGGTTGAGTTGTTGGCGGTAATATTGGTTTCTCGGAAATGGGTTTATCTTGTTGTTTTTCTTCCGTTGGTATTCGACGAGGCATAACTTGACGACAAAAGAGAACGCTCATTGCTGCGTCTCTAAAATCGCTTGATGTTAACCAATAAATGATAAATGATGTGACATGACTTGTTGTTGCTAAATTACTCAAACTCATTGTTATTAAATTCCTGTGCCATTTAACCCTTTTTCCCAAAAAGATATAGAATATAGCAGAAGGTGAAGTGAATACAATAAAAAATATTGTTATTAATATTAATGTCTTTGTTAATCGACCACCATCGTTTGATTTACCACGACGACTACTACTACTACTGTTGTTGCTATTACTACTAAATTGTATATTTGCTTTTGATCTTCGTGTTCGTCTACGAGATTCTTTAACTTGACGAATTATTGATATATTAGATAAAATCATTAATGTAAAAGGAATAAAATTATATAATAATAAATGAGCAATTTCCCAAAATTGAAAAAAATTTGATTGATAACATTTAATTTCTTGTCTTGTTTCATTAAATTCACCTTTGTATGAAACACTTTTTCCATTAACAATCCATATTGGAAAATTTATAAGAGCTATAAAAAAAATTACCATCCAAGTAACACGATGAATTATAATTGGTCTTGATAACCATTTGTTTAATGACCATTGATGTTGTAATGAAACATATCGTGCAAACGTTGCTAATGTTTTAAGCCATGCAGCACATTGAAGAGAAAAATATGCACCATAAGAAATTAGTTTGCATACAAATAATGAATGCTGTTCTAAATTTTTAATTGAAATAGTATTTTGATATTTCCATATTAATTCTCGTACAACATAATTTATATTCCATGTAAATGGTACTAATAATTCAATTAGGGCTAAATAAGAAAAGACAATTATGGTTGGATTTGAACGATTTGGTGCAAGACATTTATAGATATAAAAACAAAGAAGATTTAATGGTGTACCAACAAGAATAAGTATAAGAGAATATAAACCAGATACAATATGTGCAATATCAATCAAAGTTGCTCCCATTTTTATTTATTCTATTAAAGAAAAATAGGAAAGAATATATATATATATATATAAACTTGTTTGTATACGTATCAAAATTCTATTATGAATCTTTTTTCTTTAAGGGCCCTGCATATTGTAATTGTTTATTTTGGTTTCTAATGAGACCTATTTACATATTAACTATATTGCTCAAATTTCATTATTTATTCAAAAAAATCTAGAACTAATACTTTTTTGTTGTTTACTCAATACCATTCATAATGATATTAATCATTATTGATAGCTTTAATAAGAACTAAACTTAAATAATCATATTCTTTAATTTTTAATCATGCTATCCTATGTGTATTATAACTCCTATTTTTTATATGTTTTAATTATACTCGAGTGACTTATTAGGTTAAAAACAAAAATAATTAGAATATTTTTTGATATAAAAAACAATTACAATCACGAAAAATGCTGTAAAAAATTTCGTAAAAAAAAAAAAGAAGAAAAGATAATAATTTTTTTCAAAATATAAATATAAATATAATTTCATTTACTATATTAAGTTTATAATAATGTTCGATAAAATGAGTTGTTAAAATTTTTCGATATTGTCGAAAAATAAATTATCTTATAATCTAGATCTACTAAATACCTTTGGCAGATCGAATTCGTCGATATCTTTTAATTTCTGTTCGCTTCTAGTTTTGTCTTGACGGTGCAGGAAAAAAACTGTCAATGTAATAAATGGTTACATTTCCTTTTTTTTCCTCTACAATATGTCGTCAACACATTCTACTGGTCTCACAAGGCAGCGTTTGTTTGTTACAGTCGTTTTCACTCTCTTCGTAGTTGTCGACAGCCCTAAGAATAAATATATGTAACCGGTAGTAATAATACAGAAATATGTTGATAGACGCTGCACCGCTTTTAACAGCTCCCATTCTTCTATCATTCTTCGTTGACATAGATTTCATGAGAAACTATGCAGATAAATGCTACCTGCTATATTCTAAAAAGTACTTAAAACACATTATTAAAAATGCGAAAATGTCGATCACTTATTAAGTATGCACGCATATTTCTATATAATTACATTTAATACGCTTAGTTTTTTTTTTTTCGAGGGAAATAAAGCTAAAATAGAAGAAAATATTGAGTTCATTGATAGAATCTATCAAAGAAATTAAACAGTCAAGCAGAAGAATGACTGAGAGTAAACAAATGCTGTGTTATTGCCTTGAGATATACATCAATTCTAGAAGAAAGAACAAAACTATAACTTGTTGGTTTAATAATAGATCAGTAAACCACAGAAGTTACTAGTAATATTATGAACTGATAAATGTTGTCTATTACTTATTACGTACCATGTTTTCTAAACGACTAGTCTACAGTATATCGAATTATGACGTAGTGTATTTTTACTGTTGATAGACTACAATGATTATTGATAACTAAAAAAAAATATATATATACATCATAATCTCATCAATTCAGAAAGTATTAACATATCTAATTGATTGATTGTTTTCAAATTCATTGATGACATATTGATGCAATACATAGAGCAAAATAATGCTTCATGGCCTTCTCATTTTCGGGATAAGTACTAAAGCGATATTCTTTACTATTATCAATCAATGCCCTACTTTAAAAAAATAGATAAACGTTCGTCTAAACGACATGATGTCAATAAAATAGGCAATCTTTTTTATTTCGATTGATATTTTCAAGGATACCAATTTTACATTGTATTGAAAGGTTAAGAATTAATTTATGTTTACATGTCACATAATCAAAACAAAAGAAATTGCTATTCGTATACAATGTGTTATCAATGTATAATATGTGTGTATAAAAAGAAATTTATCTATTTTATTAACAGAATTGTTTAATTTTTCATCTCTTTAAACGGATTCAAGATATTTATTTGATCGTTATGATTTAAAGAGTTAATTATCATCATGTTTGTATTATATAAAAACAAATGTACTACGAAAAAATCTATAGATAAATTTCGTTGGATTTTGAAATCAAGATTTATAGAAGATTTCCAAAAAAGACTTAATATGCTATCGAATATTATTTCTTATTTAAAAAATCTTCATTTAGCACAAGAAAGTAAATATTTTTTTTTTTTTGGTATGCTTTCTTATTGACTTTGCATTAGCGGAAAAAAAAAAGAATTGTCGAAATAAACAGAAATATAATTACATAAGATATTTTCTTTTCTACTTCGTCAATACAGAGTATGATCATATGTGTCGACAGATGAATAAAAGTCAGATAGATATCTTGGTGACAGAAGTTTGTCAATTTAGATTGTTATTTCTATTTTCTACAATGATTTTGTTGTTGATTGAAAGGTATGAAGCGAAACTTGACTAGTATACTTGACTGTGAAATTGTATTTCACTATGAGAAATTATAACTAAATCAACAAGTTATTAGTAATAATTTATCATTTTCCACATGTCGAAACCCTTTAATATATCTGCACATTTTCTGTATATTTATTTTCTTTCTATATGCAAAAACAATCTAGTGAGAAAATTTATTAATCGACACAACATGTAACTCACAGATCAAGACATTTAAGTCATTAAAAGCAGTAAATTAGTATGGTACACTTCGTGTAATAAACTTTTTTTTTTTGTCAGCATCCACAACTATTCAAACAATCTGCTATCCAATTATCTAATCATAATATCGAAGAAATGTCAACAATTCTAATACGTTCTTTATATAATTCATTTGCATCAGTAAAGACTTAAAACATGTTGTATCCAGTAATATATTAATAGTATCAAGCATGAAAAAGACAAAAACTCAATTAAAAGAAAACAACTATCATAGATACAATTTTAGATTACTCCGTGTTATAAATAGAAATTAGATCTTCAGTATAACTGAATAGGTTAGAAGACAAACGACAATCATGTACGTCATTTAATTCTATATAACTACGTTGAAAAAAAACCAGTCAAATGACATTTGACAATGACTTTGTACAATATTAAGAATAAATTTCAGATTTTTTTTTTCTAACTTTAAACATTTATTTCACATTCATCAAAATCAAGGTCTGCATTCAAACGTCAAGGTAGTATATAAATATAGCATGTTAATTCAAAACGTTTATTAGACTCTAATGAAACCTTTACTAAGCTGTCTACTATACATTTATTAATCTAATATGTTCCATTCTTGTTTGAGTAACTTCACAATGTAAGTAATTATTCATCTCCGGTTTCTACCATCCGGAAAAGGAAAGTAGAAAAATTCGAATTATTTAAAAGCTAATGCTTTTAGACAAGTTACATTTCTGTCATGCTATAATAACTTTGTCCAAGATCATTAAAATGAACTTTTCTATATCAAAATTTGCAATTTTCTCTTTGAGACAGGAAATTATTTTCTATGAAATGGAACAACTTCAACATATTATCTTATAATGAATTCAACTGATGCAGACACACTGTTTACTGTAGATTTGTGATGCTTGGCATCAGTTATCTTCTGAGTTTAAATGTCAATAATAGGAATATTTTACTACAAACTATAGCTAAATCTCAAGATACAACTACCGACTATTTCTATGAGTTGATCCATCAATTTTTGCATCGCTTTACATCATTTATTTCGCTCTTTCTTACGGTGAAAACTACCGGTCTCCAGCTATTTACGTTCTGAAGCCATTCAAAAAGAATAGCGGAGTCGATTATATTTTTATAATAGAATAGTAACAATATGTGCTAATCTTGTTTATATTTTCTAATGATCAGACGCTGACTCAAGAATGAAGAAGCAGCACTCTTTGTTTCCGGAAACTTTTCCCGAATTTTCAAAACAAAAACAAGCAAAAAGTTGGCTTCATAATATTTTTGATGAGCTGCAAGGATCGTTTTTTTTTTTTACCTAGGATCGTCATCTCTCCGTACTAAATATTTTAGATCTAAGATTGTCAATAATATTTTCATGTGTCTAAACTCATTGTTTCTGCTTGAATAAGATCTATTACATCTTTTTCTTTTCATCCTATAAATTCATAAGAAATATCGTTCTATTTCTTTTATCTATTCAATTCGTATATTTAATGCTACTAGCTTTAATAAATAACTTACATAGTTGTGATTTTTCTGTAAGAATATTTTATTCAGAAAACATTCCTGACGATGAATTGCATTAAATGATGCATTTTGCATGTCAATACTTCGCATAGGAGAACGTCGAAGAAAAAGAATCAATAGGAATAAAAATGACAGCATGCGTTAAGGTCGTTCTAATATGAAAACAATAGGATGACAACATTGCCTCATCATGATTGTCCTATTTCTATTATCGCAGCAATGTCTTTTCCTTTAAATTTGAATAACAGTTACGATATTTGACAAATTTTATTTGACAAATTTTATTTGACAAATTTTATTTCATAAAAGTAATAAAGAATTAAAAATATTACAATAAATAGAAGAAACGTATAAAAGCATTATAAATGTCAAGAAATGACAATGACTTTGATTGGGAAGTAAAAAAGTAAAATTTCCGATTGACTATTGTTATTTTCTAGGTAAGACATTGAAAATATTCTTACGAACATTTTCTTGCTTTACTTGAGATCAAAATATTGAATACTTTAATGTAATAAGTTAGTTTTAGACAATCCCATTGAGAACAAAACAAAAAAACTAATGGTATTCTAGTGACATAAAGATATAAATTTCTCGAATATTTCTGTTTAATAATTTAAATAATAAATGCAACAAGACGAAGGATTAATATCACAATTAAACAGTATATACTCCTACATGATGTGTGAATTCTTCAGATCTTTTACAAAAAAGAATTAGAACTAATCTCTAAAAATTGAATCTTCGAGATAAAAAAAAATTGAGATAATTTCTATCATGTCCTATTATACACGTAATCAAATAGAAAAACTAGCAGAAAAATATTTGTGAATAAGCAGTTATAATTAGAAAACGATGATCAGAAATATTAACTCGAATAAATTACTGAAATTTTCT